AATAAAAAAAAGGACTATATACTATAGTACTGTAGTATACAAAATACTATATATAGTAGTATACCCATATATATAAATCTGTAGTAGTTTTTATAGCATTATTCATGTTTAATTTTTTAATATTATTGTGAATATTTTTAATGAACGCCAAATTATTTGATATACAACCAAATTTATGTTCATATACTATATGATGCTATAAAATCTTCCCAGCTGAACAACGATGGCATATAATTTTATTACAGAAATACAAATATATCCAAATAACTATTTTTGGGCAACTGTCAGCAATTAAAGCTATAACAATTAATATAATATTTGTTTTCTCTTTAATTTTTAATTTTTATGGATTGAAGAATCTGTACATCCATTTTATATTTTTACGACGCCCTCGATTTAGTTCAATAGAATAACAAAACAAAACATTGTTTACATAATTTGTATAAGCTTTTTAATACACGTACTCAGACCAGACACTTCTGCAGAGTTATCTGTAATTTTTCTAGTTGGGACAAAAAATAATTTTATATGCAAATATCAAGTACAAATTGTTAATTATTTAATTATCTTATTTATAAAGCATTGTTTTATTGCCCTATGCTCAACGAGGGCCACTCACGTCAATTGCAGATGCGAATTGAATAGAATAGATCGCATTTGAATAACTGAAAGAAACTGAACATGGAGCAGTTAGACGAGTGGATAAACGGCATTGCTGGCAATGCCGCACTGGTTGCTCCTGTTGCGGGACATGCGTATGTAGCCCCCGTCGCCCCAGCTGGCGCCCCAGGAGTTCTTCACCAGCCAAAAGTCGCCGCCCTGTGGATCACGGCCAAAGCCCACCACGAGCACGGCGTGATTGGGCCTCTTGTTGCATTGCCTATCGTCCAGCACCCCGTCGCGATAGTTTCTGAAATTGTTGCTCGCATAAATGCCCACTGAAATGGGGCCCTTCGATGCGACTGCCACGGCCAGGTGGGGCTCGCCCGCCGGCACTCGGACCACGCCCGCGACCTGGGCGCCAATATGAAATGGATCGTAGCGACACGACAGTTGCTTGGCCTCATAGGTATAGGAGTATTCCGTGTCGATGCCCCCATTGTCTATCACGTAATTCAGTGCCCGATCCGGCATTCCTCCATAGCAGCCCCTATTGAAATAGCGGGTGGTTGAGCAGTCCACCAGGTTCTGCTCGGAGAGCGAGACGAGTTTGCCCGTCTTCAGAAARTGCATGCCCTCCAGGGTGCCCGTCGCGGAGAAGGACCAGCAGGCGCCACACTTGCCCTGATTCTTCACGGGCGTGACGGCGCCCCGATTTCGCCAATCGATGTCCGCGGGCAGCGCGTAGGCCTCGTCTGGCGTATACAATAAATCCGCATCGGATTCCGTTATGTTCATGCTGCCCAACATCAGGCTCTCGAACTCCTTGTCCAGCATGTCCGTAAACTGATTCACGCCCATCTCGTAGCTCTCCATGTTCAGCCTGTAGCGTTGGTTGTGCCTATCGATCTGCCTCTTGTTATCGATAAAGATGAGCTTGCGCAGCAGCTCCTCCTCTTCGCTCTCATAGACCTTATCGTATTCCAGCTTATACGTCTCCCACTCCGCCTCCAGCACGTCCGTATAGGACAGAGCCCCACTCAGCCCAACAAGTGCCAAAATTGCAATCACTGTCTTCATATCTAACTTCAAACTAAATCGAACCCAATGCGAATCGTTCTTTTTATAAGAGACTCAATGAGTCGAGGTGCATTCAATTTACTTCTTATCAGTCGAGAAACTAAATAAATAAATAACCTTGATTACCAGTCAATTTATATGATGTCTGTTCTTTGACGAGGGCGGGTTATAGAAAACCGTTGCACCTTAGCACTTTATCAAAACGTGACACATAATTGGCCTAAAAATAGCTTGAAGACCCTTTGAATAACAAGATAAGGCTAAGGCCAATATGGGGAATACAAAGAGAGCTCTTCATCGGGCAGCAGTAATAGATATACCACACAAAAAAATACTACAAAAATACTGCAAAAAGAAATGAGTGCCAGCTAACAGGTAAACCCATGACCTGTGCTCCTATTAAGCAGGAGGCGCGTTAAAGCAGCAGCTGCTGCTTCTACTCCTGCTGCTGCTCCTCCTCCTCCTGCTGCAGCTCACAAAAGTATGCAATGCATAATTTCACGTTTATCAGCATATTTTGTGAGTGAGAAGCGGCAGCAGTGGCAAGAAAAAGTGGCAGCCACAACAACAACAGCAACAACAACAATAGCAGCTGCAAAATGAAAGCAGGAAGAAATTACGGAAACAGGAAAACATAAACATGCTGCTGCCTGCCTAACAGCTCTACCGTCTCCCTCTCTCTCCCACCCTCTCTCCCTCTCTCTCTCTCGCCTTCTTCCTCCTTGGCAATTTCTGGGCAAACCGGCAATTTTTCCATAAATTATGAGCCGGGAAATATTTCAAGGCAGCCTCGTGAGTAGCTATTATGCGTGTGTTTATACTTATGCCAGTGTTTTGCGCAAAGCTTATTTGCATGCTCATAGAGACAGCAGATCAGAGTGAGAGCGAGAGAGCGAGAGAGAGAGAGAGGGTGAGAGTGAGCTCTCTGCATTATGCATATGCATGTCCTGCTGGGTAACTGCCATCGCTCACTGCATTGCACTTGAATTTCAAGACAATTATAAATTATGCAAGCAAAGCAACAGCAACAGCAGCAACAACAACAACACTAGCGCACCTGAGCCCTAAACAATTTTACAGTTAATCGCAGGCAACTTTAAATTACATAAATTGCAGCTTAATTAGCTCAGCATACCCAATTTTTATGCCTAGCTCCCAGCCTGACTAGAGTCCATGTTTTCGCAGTCCTTGCAAGGCATAAACAACTGTCCTAAGCATAGTCTCATTTTGCACTGTCATTGGGGTGCTGAATATACATTAAACATAAGCTTAATATGATATTTTGTGCTCGTCATTGGAGTTGCGAAAATGAATGGCTCAACGGGGCGTATGCGCAATTTAAAAACGTTTAAAATGCCATTAACAAATGCTTCAGGCATATCATTTGATAATTTGTCGCGAGCCGCAACTCAAAAGACATGTGTCTGTGTGCGTGTGTGCGTGTGTGTGTCTGTGGCAATTAGTTAATAACTGCCTGGGCGTGATACGCCTTGAATGCTTTAAGCTGGCTCTTTAAGCACTCGCCCGGCCAGCACTCAATAAATCAACGGCCAAGTCTCGTGGCTCAAACGATTTCCCTTTGGGCGCTATCAACTGTCATATCTCTCTCTCTCTCAATTTATTGTAGTAAAAATGTCAATCAAGTGAATAGAACGGATTTACCCAGAGTGGGAGAGGGAGGGGGAGAGGGGGAGGGCGAGAGGTGCAGACAGGCATATGGCAAATTCAAAAACTATATGGCATTGCCACAACATATCCTTTGATTGACTGCTCTGACTGGACTGACAAACTGTTTGACAAACTGATTGACTGTTCATCAGTTGCTTGACTATGGCCGTAATAGCTGTGCGTCTCTCTCCCTCTCTCTCTCTCTCTCTATCTATCTCCCTCTTGCTGCGGGGGCTCGCAATCGGTAAACGTGACTGAGCCCCACGAACATGGACAGCAAACATTTCAATCCGATTTTCAGCAATTCCAATTCAAGCACCACACACACACACACACACACACATACACACACCCACACACACAAAACAATTTGCATATGAGCTGGCCAAAAAAAAAAGAACTTCAACATTTTCGACTATGCACATACTTATACACACCCCATACACACACACACGCACACACACATGGCAACCATTTCCGTTTCCGCACGCTTGACGCTGGCAGCAGCTAAAAAAATCACACAATATATGCACACATATAAAAACAACTGAAGCACTTTAGGCTACCAAGAGAGACTGACAAATACCCTGTAAAACAGATGAAATTATAAATTTTGGAGAAGCAGAACTGAGGCAAAGAAATAGCGACTGAGTTTTGGGTAAACAAAAAAAAATTAATTTTTAAATACTTCGTAAAGGAAAAATAAATTAAATAAATACAATGAAAAAAAAAAACACTTTCTCTGTTTAGAATGAAATAAATGAATGAATTAAATACAACAAATAATTTAATCAAAAATTATTTAGAAAAAAACCTGCAAAAGCCAAAAAAAAAAAAAAAAAAAAAAAAAAAAAAAAAGAAAAGCGATTGCTAAATACTCTTAAAAAAAAAATTAAAATTAAATAAATATAAAGTAATACCTAAAAAAATGCTCAATATGCGCTATTTTCTATTTTAAATTATATTTTAAAAAATATGTAAACTAAAAATATTTTAGAAAAAAAAAAAACTTGTAAAAGCTAAATGAAAGGTAACACTTTCATTCAGCTACTTTTTGGCTAGTTTTAGCTAACAAACTAATCGCTGTTTCTAAGAGCATATCTACACTGAATTGATGACTCCAACTTTTTCTAGGGTATATCAGATATTGCCGCACCCATGTCTACAAATGAAAATAAAGGAACGTTATACAAAATGAAGTTTGAATCTGAGCGGTGAACAGCAAAAAGGCTGCTGCTGCTGTTGTTGTTGTTGCTGTTATTCCTGCTGCTGTTGTTGTTGTTGGAGTTGTTGTTGTTGTTGCTGTTATTCCTGCTGCTGTTGTTGTTGTTGCTGCTGCTGTCGTTGGCAGTCGCAAGGGAAAGAAACTTAAGCTCAAATGTTTTTTTCCCGCGGCGAGTTTTTGTTGCTATTGTTGTTGTTGTTGCTGGTCTGGGGCGTCGCCAAAGCGGCATTTAAAGAGCGTTCAACAGCAGGTAGCAGCGACCTGTGGAATCGACTCCAGTTGCTGCTGCTGCCGCTGCTGCCCTCACCTCAGCTAGCTGCAATCCCTTCCAACCCACTAGAAATTGCCGCCAATGTCACGTCTTTCTCTTTCTCTTTCTCTTTCTTTATTTTTTTCTTTTTTTCCTTTGCGGCCAAGTGTTTTTTCGACGGCCTGGTAATAGTTATTTGCATAATATTTGCACAAATAATTGAATTTGTGTTCTTAGCCTCGACTCGCCAAATTGTTCGAGTGAACTTTTCTGCGACTCTGTGCAGATAATGGCAAACATTTTTAAGCGCCTGCAATTGAAGTTTCTGAATGCTTAACTTGCCATGAAATTGAACGTTCAGCAGCGCCAGAAGAAGAAGCAGAAGCAGAAGCAGAGCCAGAGCCAGAGCCAGAGCCTCATTTGTTTTGTCTAGAAAGTTTAGCGCGCTGTGCCTGCATGTGCTGTCCTTTAAGGACTATAATAATATGGGGTCTTTATCTGGCTAAGAGTTTTTGCAGTAATATTTTACAAAGAGGTGGAGCATAATTTAAATTCAATTTATTGCCGATGAGAGTTGGCAATAGAATGAATGTTATATGATATTAAAGAATATTAAAATATTCTGAGATATAAAAAAATAAATATAATTATGTATTTCTACAATTATTTTAGCTTTAAAACTGAAGGTTTATTTACCAAGTCTTCAGTACTCACTTAAAAATGCATAAAATATATACTTAAATATAATTTAATATAATCCACTTGCAACGAATTTAGCCGCAAAGGAAATTCCATTCACACTGAAAAATGCATCAGCGCCAACATGTGTGAGCCCAACTGGCTGCAATCAGTTGTAAACTAACTGCTGCATACAAATGGGTTACACAGTGCGAGAAAGAGAGAGCGAGAGGTAGAGAGTGAGGGAGTAAGTGTAACTGAGATGGCTACAAAGCGTCGCCACTTATCAAATCAATGCGCGAAGCTTCATCAACGGAGCGCAGAGTTCGTATAAATGCGTTCATTTAACACGAAATGCAACTTAAGAGCTTGCATCAAATCAAATCAAACGCACTSTTGTTGGCTAGTGTAAATGGAAATAAAACCAGCAGAAAAAAAAAAATAGAACTAAAATGTATATCGCTTAAGAGCGACAAATTCGCTGTGTGTGTCAGCGCGAGTCGTCGCCTGAAGTTGCTAAGTTGCTCATACGCCACGTTGCACTTATTTCATGCTGCGCCTGCCTGCCGGTGGGTGTGGCATGGGGGCGTAGGTAATGCACTGCCGGCTGCCTGCTGCCTGTGCAGTCAGCGACTTTGCGACGTTGACTTAACTTGGCAGGGATTTACGGCAACGCTTCACGGAGCTTGCTTGCAACGTGCCACATGCAGCATGGCAGTTGTTTTTTTTTTTTTTTTTTTTTTTTTGCTGTCCCCTGCTCTCGCTTCCTCTTGCCTCTTGCTATTATTAGGTTGCAATAGACGCAGGCTAAATAAATCCACGTCGCTTAAGACGACGCCATGTGGATAAAGGGCTAACGAGAGCAGTGCCTCAGACTGCAAGCGTATGTGTGTGTGTGTCTATTCATGTATTTCATTGCCTGGCATTTAAGTTTAACGTTGATGCATAGCATTCTGCATAATTAAAACGAACAACCAGCAAGAACAGACTCCTATATCCACAAACTATATTACTTATACGTGTACGTGTGTGTCTCTGCATGTTTGTGTGTGTTGCCTTGACAACAGCTCAGCATATCTGTGTGTGTGTGTGTGCTTGACAGTGTACATGCTCTGCACATGTCGTTAGGTTGTCTTAAATCCGTCAAGAATTTTAGCTTCAACATAAGATTTTAAATTAGAAAAAAGAATAGATGATAGATATACTCTGAAGCTTTTATAATTAATATTTAACATCATAATGATAATTAAAATGGTTTTAATTTTGACTGCTATAACTAGCTCTTTTACACTCCGAAATATACTAAAAGAATCGTGCTCACTCGCTTTCTCTCTCTCTCTCTCTCTCTCTCTGACGAGCCTGAGCCTTCGGTTTTTTTTTCGTTTTTGTTTTCTGTTGAGCGCTTTGAGTTGAAATATACGTGTGACGCTCTTTAGAGCGAGAGGATTGACGCTCGCACACTGAGACTCAATAAACAAATAACTCAAAAGCTCAAGACAAACGGTCTTTGCATTACATACACATGCACACACACAAACCGCGTAGGCAATCGATGTGTTTAGCGTATAAGTAGTACTTATTAAGTACCAACACATATACAAATGGCTTTTTGCTTCGCTTTGCTCAACGAAACAGTCGGCTAAAGAGCACGTTTAACTTCAATTGAGTTTTTTCAGAGTTTAAGTGAAATACACTTATTTACAGCTAGAGCTAGCAGAAAATGTGATTAATAAAATAAATATATTTTCAATTAGAAACAAATGTAAAAAACCTTAAGCACATTTTTACCTAATCATATAACAATCTGTTGAAGAAGACAATCTCTAATTTTCCACATTTCACTCAATTCTCTCTCTTGCAGAGCTTTTGTGGACAACACGCATTTACAGACGCTGCATCTGAACTTCAATCCGCAATTGAGTGACATACCCATGCGCCTGTTCCAGGGCAATCCCAACATTCTGGAGGTGTACATGCAGAGCAACAGCCTGCAGACGCTCTACTCGGCCCAGTTTCCAGTGGATCAGCTGCAGAAGCTCTACCTGGGCGATAATCCGCTGCAGTGCAACTGCTCGCTGCTCTGGCTCTGGCGCCTGGTCACTGGCAACTTTGAGGGCACAGAGCCCGCGCTGGAGCATGCTCAGGGCGGTGCTGTGGCCGCGCTGGCCAAGGAGGCATCGCTGGTGCGGGAGCAGGAGGACGACACCACTCTGAAGACCGACGATGGGGTCTCCGCCCTGGCTGCCTACATAGCCGAGCAGCATATTGCCAACGCCCTGCAAACCACCGAGCCGAGCGCGTATGAGCAGCGACTGGAGGCCGCCGCCAGCGCCAGCTCCAGCAGCAGCTCCAACTACTTGCGCATGGACAAACAGCAGATCGGCTGCGACATTTGGCGGGACGGCGTCCGCACCCGCCGCCAGCTGCTGACAATGAGCGAGGGCGAGATCACCTGCCCGGCGCACATCGTGACCGTCGTCTGTGCGGTGATCACCAGCCTCCTGGTGCTCATGATCGGCATCAGTGTGCTCTACTATCTGCGCTTCGTGAAGCGCCGGCGCAAGCTGCTGCACGAGCGCGGCCCGCTGCGCACCAGCAAGAGCATCATCAATGTGCACGACCGCATCCTGCAGGGCCACCACCAGCCGCTGGGCGCTGGTGCGGGCATGAGCATGACCCTGGGCGGCTCGGGGCCCGGTGGCCTCGGCATGACGCTCAACTATCCGCATCATGCGCAAACGCTGCAGGCGCATCATCACTACCATCAGGCCATGCCGCTGCAGGGCCACAGCGGGCACGAGTACCAGCAGACGACGCTGCCGCAGCTGGACAAGCTGGAGCTGGAGCGCTATCTGGCGGCGCAGACAATTGCCAATGAGTATCGGGCGCTGAAGCCCTGGGAGCTGCCCGTCAAGGAGGCGGACGACGAGCCGGAGCATCTGTACGAGCGCTTCGATCACTACGAATACCCGGACACGCACACCATGACCAAGCTGAAGCAGGCAGCCACGCTCCAGGGCAGCAGCGTGGTGACAGCAGCCGGCAATGCCAACGCTGGCGCTGCCAACAGCAAGCCGCACGTGGTCTACGTATGACGTGGACGCGGCGTTCCTAGCAACCAGAAACAACAGCAGCAAAACAAGCAGCAGCAGCAGCAGCAGCAGCAGTTGGATCTGGGCATTGAGCTGGTGGGCCTGGGCCTGGGGCTGACAAACAACAACTATCGCAGCTATGCGCAGTGTCCGAGCAAGGCGATCGATCACTTTTGAAAACAGGGATATTCACAGCAGCTGCAGCAGCAGCCGCAGGAGCAGCAGCAGCAGCGGCAGTTTTATGTTTAAGTATCCTTCGGTTCTTTTCAGTTCGAATTTGAGTTTGAGTTGGGCATTTTCGGAGAATTTGATAACTCGCAACAAAAGTTTAACAAGCGTCAAATGAAACAAGGGATATATCTACGTGTATAGCAGCATACTATAATAATATTATAAGCATTAAGGAAAGGAGAAATTAATAAAGAATTCAAAATATAAAATTAAAAATATGTCACATTAGTTGATAAGTTGAAGGAAAGCAAAGAAATATTAATATAAATAGCAATAGTTATATTTCTCTTACTCTCTGTCTCCCTCTATCTATCTCTCTGTCACACACACTCTCTTAAGCAAGCAAAAAATCCACTCATAGTTAAAGGCATTCAGCATTAGTCTAGCATTAGTTAGTAAGCGCATTTAACTGAATTTAATAAACATAAATGAAACAACAGTTTGCAGTGTGAAGAGTGCAACAATAACTAAGTTAACTATTTATTATTATTATTTGTATTCAAAATTTTTACTTTGATGAGAGCTCAACAAGTAACAAGGCTAAAGGGACCAAGCAAACAGTCCACTATTCAATATAATCCAAACTTTAAAGAGTGCAAAAGCGTAACTCGCAAATAACTGTTCCTATTTTACTCTTTATGTTTTCGCTCTTAGCAAGAGCCTTCGGTTCATTTCGTTGTTGTTTACGGTTAAACGCTTCGAGTTGAACTAATCGTGTGACTCTCTTTTCACGAACATCGTTTAGGGAGAGAGAGAGAGAGAGAGATGATTAACGCTCTTAGTAAAGAAATAACCCAAAAGCTCAGCCGAGTTGATCGCAAAGAAACAGAAGCGACTCAATCGGTTGAGTTTAAGCTTTCGTTAAGTTCTTTCTCAAAGTGTGAGTGAAAGAAAGGAAAGGTCAACAGTTATTAGCGAGCTATGAGCAAAAGCTGAGTTACTTGAAGAAGCCAATTCGAAAATTAACTAAATTACAAATTTAAATATATACATAATTATATATAAAACACACACAAAATAAGATGACAATATATAAAAGAAAAGTGTAAATTTAAGCGAAATTCAATTTTTTATTTGTCGAGCAGCGCTCAAAACTCAAAGTTGGCCTAAAACGTAATCAAAATTGATTTGTAAATAACTAGAAATATAAATATGAAAATAAAACTAAACTTAATATTAAATTTAATATTAAATTTATATATTGAAATTCTCATTACTCAAGCACAAACTTTAGCTTATTTTGCCTATATTTTGTACATAATTTATGCTTACATTTAAAGTTAGTCAAGCGCAAAAATGTATATTTAACAACAAATAAATATTGAAAAAAAAAAAACCAAAAGCATAACAAATCTACAAGCAATTTTTGAGCAATCAAATTCGATATTATTTTCAGTTCTTTCACGGCTGAACAGCAAAGCAAATAGAAGAGGCCCAGCTGCAACGTTCATTTGCATAACAAATTCAAATAGTTCAACAAAACAAACGTATGAAAATAATAAAACTATGAAAATGAAACAAAACAGAGAAAATATTGAAATTAAGGCAAAGCAAGTCAAGAGCGAAGAGCAGAGAGCTAAACAAATGCAATTCGAATTTGTATTTGCAACAACAATTTTAAAATTAAACGAAAGTAAAAAAAACATCAAATGTGTGTATAAAAATATATAAGTAATTTATGCTAAAGTATTTAATTGAATTCATATATATAAACAAATATATATATATGTATGTATCAGATACACACTGGAAATTGCGGCAACAACTAAATTCACAATACACAAATGCAAAAAAAAAGTAAAAACAAAATGTTATTTCTTATACGAAGACTGAGGAAAATGATGATGCAAGAATAAAAATAAAAAATACAAAAAAATTCTAAATAAATAAAGCTTTGATTTGCAGTAGCTTAAGAGGATTATCTTTACATTGCTGAGATGGAGAGAGAGAGAGGGAGAGAGAAAGAAAGAGTAAGTATGATGAGGAACAGGAATAAGTGTTATTAGCCACAACTATTCAATGATTCACAGGAATATCTCAATTCAATAAGTAATAATTTTTAAACGAATTATCTAAGAGCTGGATTTCATTGCCAAGTTCCATAAAGGAAAATAAAATATTCTTCTAGAAAGTGCTAGACTTAGACATACCCTGAGTCTTGCACAGAGCTGCTATTTCCATCATTCAAATGATGTGGAATGCATTCCACATACACATCCACATCTATATTCACATATTCGCATATGTATATATATAAATACAGATTTACACTTCTTACTTTCCTTTGGGCTGCAAATTGTTATCAACCATAATCAAGTCGTAGATAAAAATTGCAATTGCCTAAAATATGCTATTTATGAGCTGTAGTAAACAGAGAGATAAATATATATATAATATATATTCATATGATATGAGGTAATATATGTTTATATAGACATTGTTAATGCCATAATTTATTGGCATTTCATAAAATGTCTATTTTAGTGTTTCACCCGTAACATTGTAGCAATCAAATAACTGTGCTAATTGAGGCTGCCAAATTGCCATCAAAAATGTTGTTAACTAGTCTAAGCAGCAGCAGCTGATGGAGCAGAAAGAACTTGAATAGCTGTAGCCAAGCAATATGTTGGCGTAATAAATCAGAGGGCTTTAGGGTTGGGCTGCTTTTGTAGTACATTTGTAGTGCTATGTGTGACAACTCTGTGCGACAGAAAAAGAAAAAACAACAACAACAATAACAACTAAGAAAGCCATGTTAAGCAAATAATGGACTTGTTTTGCTTAAGAAGTGGCCAGAAATATTTTCAGAAACAGAAATAAACTGCCCAAGAAATAGCATAAATCCAAGCGCTGAAACTTGAAACGCCTACCCCACGCACACACACACACACGCAGTGAGAACAGGACAAACACAACACAACTGATATGTGGGCACAGCAAACAGCAAACAGCAGTAAGAGCCATATATAAAAGCCAGGCCAGTAACTGGGTCAGCAAATATTGTGAAGGAGTCGGAGCAGAGCTCAAATTATTATTAACAATGCTAAATGTAACAGAATTTATACAAAGTATATATGTATGTATATATATATACAACTATATCTTCATTCGGAGCTCGAGCATTTGTAATATCTGCAACTGCTCTTGGCCAGTCTCTGAGGCAGTTGCTTTATGCAGCTCTGCAGCTAACTTGACGCATTGCCTTGGGGCCAGCACGTATTTACGGACAAATAAAAGTGAGTGCTGCGAGGACAGTGCAGAGGGCAGCATACGAAATTCTAAAATGCCAGGAAATGTGGGAATGAGGAATATGGAATACGCTCACTTTATATATCATACCTCAAACTTCTTACATAATATATATAAAATTATTGGAGTATTCAGTTGAAAGTAAAAGATTTTCTAGCTTTTGAAGTTGATAAAAAAAAAAGTATGTACGGTCCGGTACGATCCGACCGATCCCGATAATTCTAAATGGCAAGGGGATCAGTTTTTTTCCCGATTTACATAGAAACTAAAATTATCGATAACTATCGAGAACGAATTTGTTCAAGGGGATCGAATTTCTTTCGGGTTATCGCGATTTTCGATTTATCGGGGTACAAATTATCGAGACTCGACTGTATTACATAGTTTCATCCTATATCTCTAGCCTTTTTCATAAATTTTATTAAAAAGGGTTTACTTTAAATTATAAATGGTTACTTAATATGCTAAACTGTCCCAATAATATTGAATCTTATGAGTTTTAAATAAAATATGAATTTCAAAATTTGTGAAAAATGCAAACTACAATAAAAGAAAATTTTTAAGGGAATAAATCAAGTGAATGAGTAAGGCAATAATAAGAAGTCTACAGTCCTTTACGTGTAGGACTTTTAACCCCCAGTAACATACTAGAATACTATACAATCTCAGAAACAAAAAAAAAAAAAAATGAAAAAAAAAAACAAAAATATAAGTAAACACCTAAAATATTTTGTCCCAGCAGCTTTGCATATTGACAAAAAAACTAATTTGATTAATATCCCCCCTCGAAAACCCAAAAAAATTCAAAAATTAAAAACACAAATCCCGAAAAAAAAAAAAAAAAATGAAAAAAAAAAAACAGAAATAAAACCCGAAATATGTGTCCTCATCTCTGGCAAGCAAATGAAATGAAAATGTTGAGCTAACCCCGGGCAGGGCATAACGAAAAAGTTGGCACAATAAACACACCTCAACAAAAGCGCAAACAATGGCAACAAAGAGAGTGGGGAGGGGGTTGAGTGGCTAAGGGATGGAGGTAAGCTCAACAGTTTAGTAAATAAATCTGCATGCTCTCTAAATAATTAACATGCTCGAGGCCTGTGACGAGGCTCAAGTCCCGCCCAGTTCGCTTCGCTTGCATTCTCATTCACTTTCGTTCGCCCTGCCGCACTCATCGAGTTATTCAACCCGACAAGGGATGCTCCACAAATGGAGTAGCGCAGCGAGAAAGAGACGGAGCAAGAGTGAGACGGAGAGACGGACAGAGTGAGCCTTGACTGATTGCAGCGCAATTTGTTTGACTGTGCCACACACCCACACCCACACACACATGCACAGTTATCCCACTTCCTGGTCACAACACCTGGTCCTGGCGTGAAACTAATGTCAGCCAATTAATATTGTCATAATGCATATTCGAAACAGGCAACAACAAATAGCGCGATTAGCTGAAAACGTTTTGCACCAATTTCTTCGAAACAATTTTCGTTCACTTTCTTTTTCTTTTTTTTTTTTTTTTGCTACTCAATAAGTCATAAAGTGCAGGAAACGTTGAGGAAATCTATGAATGAGCGGAGGCCATTAAATGCAGCCCCAAAGACGCGAGACACGGCCGTTTTAGCCATCATTTCCGAGCCGTAAATAACTGTTAGTCGGACGCGGCAACATTTGAGTTACGACCGTGGCAGCATTTTAATTGCCAAAGATATTTGTTAGAGGTGCTAACTGCTGCCGGCTGTCTTCCAGAGATACAAATACAGATACAGCTACAGATACACAGCTTCAGCTATAGATACACACACACACACACACACACACAACTGCTGTTGCCTAGAACTGCACGGCTATTAATTTAAGTGCTGCTGCCTCGCATAAACATTTTAATGGCACAAATTTGGCTAAAAGATGCGCCAACTG